AATTACTATTAATTAATATTTGTTAACACTAGTAATAATTAATTTTTATCTTATTTATTAATAATTAATGGTTATTTACAATTAATAGTAATAAATTATAATTAATCTTAATAAAAGTTATAATCTATCTATATATCTATATAAAGCAGAAACATGGACCGCTGACGTGTCATCATCTCAAAAGAGCTTTCCTACCTTCTTTTTTTCTCATTTTTTTCTTTTTTTTTCGAAGCAAAACCTTTAATCTTCCACCTTTACGTTTTTCCTTCTTCTTCATGGTTTCTTCTTCTCCATTAATAGCAAAACCTTCAATCTTCCACATTTACGTTTTCCTTTCTTCTTCATGGTTTCTTCTTCTCCATTAATAAGTTACATTTTTGTTCTTCACCATCTCCCATCTCAATCTACAGTTGGATATCTTTTGTAATTTCACATGTCTGTCACAAGTAAAAAGGAGTTCACTTTCCCAGAAAAGGAAGCTCTGAATCGCCATCATCATTTCCCTCGGATCTGCCCAATCGCCACCGCAGTTTGCAGAAATAAAATATCATACGCTGAACGAGACACCGTCCCCCTCAACCAACCCTCCTAATCCGACATCGATGAGATCGAAAACCTCATGAACTACAACGTTCAATCGGGTCCCGCTACTGTCCTCCCTGCCCGTCCACCATCTCCAAAGCACGCATCCATTCCCGTATCTTCTTCCCCCTTCATCCCATCCAACCTTCCTCAAAAACCAACATCTATCCCTGCTGCACCTCCACCGCCTTCTAACCTCAACCGTAATGCTAATGCTAATAGTCCGACATGACTGGTTTCGGGTCACCGTCGAACACGTTGATTGAACCCGTGTGGAATACGGTGAAACAAGATCTTTTGAGGATTGTTAGTAATTTTCCCCAAATGAAACAAGATGGCCATTCAAGCTCAGTAGACGTCAGCTTCCTTTGGCAACATGCTTTGCCATGACAATAAATAAAAGTCAAGGACAATTATTATGCCATGTTGGCTTGTATCTATTGAACCAAGTGTTTACCCATAGTCAACTGTATGTTGTTGTATCACGAGTTACATCACGTGAAGGGTTGGTCATACTAAATGCCGACAATGAGATTGAAGATCGAACCGTAATTAAAAATATTGTTTTCAAGGAAGTCTTCCAAACTATTTCTTCAACAACTCATGATCTTCAAATATGACATGCTCAAGATTTATAGTAACTATTAAATATTGATTAGCTATAACATTGACACAATATATAAACTAATATTTTTCATTTAATGACTTTTTCTATAGGAAAACGAGTCTGCCATCAAGCAACCGATTTTCAACCATGTCACACGTTTATTGGATTGTTCATAGTAGAAAGTAATATGTGGCTCTCTCAACATATAATATACCGAATTGGCAATAATTATCTATACATTATACTTTTATTTCTCACATGCAATATATTACACAACTATATTATTCTTATAACAAGACAATCAAAAACATGAATGTTAGTTTTACATCTACCAAATGTATTTCGTATCATTTCACAATTTAGTAGCGTGCTCATAACAAAATATGATCTCTAAACTTTTCACTTGTTAATTTCTTAAATCACATACTCCATCACAACCTAAAATTCTTTGACACTACATATTCATTTTCTCTGAAACAATATATTGCAATTCTCTTTATGCTTACAAAACCAAACATTTGAACATACAATTCTAACATTATTATTGTGATACTTTTAGCACTTTATATTTAATTCAAACTTCTCGATGTTTTTCTTCATTAAATAACAACGACCGCACAAAACACGATAACATTTCCTAGTTAAAAAATATGACAAAAACTTCTCATAAACCAGTTTATATATCCCTTCAATAATGTATATAAAAAATAAGTTAATTTTATAGTTTATATTTGCCAGAAAATCAATTCCTTCAACCTATGTTAACTTGTAGAAGATTAAAACTAATTATATATTTGTTTAATACACGATCTTCAATAACCTACATGCATCAAAAAATTATGTGCCATGCACATGACTCTTTTAGAAGTTGGAAAAAATGACCAATCCAAGTTAACTCTCGTTTTCATCTCACTTTCTTCATGGTGTTTCAATTTCACCAATGGATTATTATGTGACATTGTTTGTCGCCATAAATCCGTATAAATAGTGTACTACTTTTCTTTGAAGTTGTGGAGGGTCTCACAAATTTATAAATCAGGTCTTATGTTAATCATAACAAATATATCTGAAATTCATGAATCGATAAAAAAAAACTTTTTATCTCTCTTGTTTTGTTATGTGCACATATTTGGTCAAAAGGTGAAGCGGTTCAATTGTTTCCTTCATGTTTTAAGTCAGAATCGGGTTTCCAATATACGGTCTCACATATACATAAACTATGTTAAAAAGTGAAGCGGTTCAATTTTTTATGTCGCTTATCAGAGCATTTTTACCTCCCATAATTTACCTTTTTTATTTTGAATTTCAATCTTATCCATCTTATTTAAAGAGTGAGAAAATCAATATCTTAATATTTCTGGAAAAAAGAATGAACTAATTATTTAAAAGTTACAAAAAGACAATTATATTTTTAAGCCTAAAAACTACCTGCTTAAACATTATTCATATTGGTACTCTGTTCAAACATTTAACATATACAAATATATGGATTCCCGAAGACACATAATTCACATCGCCATTAACGAATATATTATGGATGACAGAAAGGGACCAAAATTGTTATAAAAATACTTAACATATAGAAAAAGCAAGTTATTGAAAACTCAAGGGATTAATGGTGCAATTCAATGTAAATATAAATATAAATACAAATAAAAATAAAAATTGATTCTTTTGAAGCTAACTTTAATTATTTCTTTGAATACAATTATTAGTATTATAATTACCACTATATCTATCCTATAATCATTAATCAGAGAAACTTCAAAACTTCCACCAGCTTCTTGTCCACGTGTCAGCTTGATAGTGACACAGTTCTTCTCCCTCTTTCAGTTCTGTCTCGAGAACAGAGAGAAGTTACCACTGATCTCACCACCCCCACTCCCTCTAGAGAGAGAAAAACAATTCTAGGGTTTTTAGAGAGAGAAATTCATCAGTAGATGGTGTGTGAATTTCTGTAACCGAAAATTAAAAGAGATGTATGTGGGATCAATGAGAAAATCTTTCAAGGATTCTCTCAAAGTTCTTGAAGCCGATCTTCAACATGCTAATACTCTGTAAGAAGTCTATCATTTCTTTTGTTTTTCTCTGGATATCTTCTAATTATTGATTATTTTGGCTATATTTCTACGAAATTGATTAAAATCCTTCAATTTAGTTTCTGGGCTTTTGATCTTTTGGACGAATTTAGGGTTTTTTTTCCATTTTTTTAATTCACGAGTTATGTTTTACTCAAATTAAGTCGGAACTGTCATAAATTTGGTTTCTGTTTGACTGTAATGCTTGCTTCCATATGGGATAAAGGTATCCAATAGTATTTTAATTGATAAAGCAGCTTTCTATTTATTAATTTCAATTTCAATTTATTTCTTGGTAACTTGTATTAATTGACAGTGAAATCTTTAAGATATGGGTGTCAGTTTGAGGGTATACCGACTAAAACTAGAGTTAAAAACCTAAATTTCTTGGTAATTTTCATTGGGTAGATTTGAATTTACGTTCTTTTTGTTATATGTATTGTATTCTTGTGAAAGAGTGAGGTCTATTTAGATTGATTCACCAAGAAAAAGAGATAAGCACTCTGTTTAAATAATGAAACGAAAATAAAAAATAAAAAGATGTGCATTTTTAAAGGGTGAAGCTTGAAATTATGATCTTGCAAAATTCTATGGTTTTGTAGTAATTGTTGTGTTGTTTGATGGACTGCAATCTTGATTCTTGGTTGGTACAGGGCATCTGATTTTCCAAGGGAATATGATGGTGCCTGTGTACAGATGAGAATGTCGTATAGCCCGGCTGCTCAGTTTTTCCTTTTCTTTGTTCAATGGTCAGACTGCCACCTTGCCGGTGCTCTTGGACTCTTGAGGATCCTGATTTTTCAGGTCAAACTTGTTCTGTATTGTTTATTTTTTCCGGGATATAGGATTTAAAATCCAATTATAAAGTTTCCGGCTATGCACACACTACAGGTTTATGCAGATGGTACTACCACCATGTCTACACACGAAAGGAAGGCGAGCATAAGAGAATTCTATGGTATGATTTAAATAAAGGGTTGACGATTATATTTTTGATGCCTAATTCAACAATTAGTTGCTAGCATAAGTGGTGCGGATGATTAAAGTGGCCATAACTAATTGAAGAGGTAGTAGAATGCTTTACGCCAAAGTGGAAGTGGGATGTTTAGCAAGTTGGTCTCAACTATTATATGATGTTTAGGATGATATGATGACAGGTATCATATATCCATCTTTGATGCAACTTCAAAGTGGTGTCACTGATTCGGAAGAGAGAAAGCAGAAGAAGGTATGCATGGAAAGGTATAGGAAAAGAGAAGATGAAGATTACAATCGATGTTCTGATGTTGACATTGAACGAGAAGAAGAATGTGGTATTTGCATGGAGATGAATGGCAAACTCGTCTTACCAAAATGTAACCATGCCATGTGCTCAAACTGCTACAATGACTGGTATACTTCTATATTGAAACTTCTTATTCTTTAGTATGTATGAATTTCTTATGTGAAAGATGCTAACAAAACCTTGAGGGCCAATTCAACTGCAAATAGATTCTAGGCCTTAGGGCTCCTTCCCATAGGTTGCTGTTCGACTCTCCTCAGGGCCATTGGGGATTTTCCTGGTTGGTATCTTCAAGGCCCTATGGGATTAGGGGAGGTGCACACAAGCTGGCACAGACATCCATGGTTACCAAAAAAAGATGCTAACATCATCATACCATTGGAAGTTGTATGGTACAAAACCAAATGCACTTTCTAGCATTCTAATGTGTTGATACTGTTGGTGTGGATGTGTCTGCTTTCTATTTATTTTAGACGCTGATGACAATCATCAAGAAGGTGAAAGGTTTTAAAACATATTAAATATATTTTATTTCATTACCATTTGGAAGCCTAGGAAACAAGAGTCAAATGATGATTTAGGATGATAAACACGTTCAAACTAGTGACTATTACAAGGATCTATATTCATTTTTGCCTTGATGACACAAGAAAGAAGTTGATGTAGTTGTAGTTGTTGCATACCACCAAGTATCATGTAAGCTATATGGTAATGGTAGCGAAGAACCTATTGTTGCCTCCCAAAGAAGTTCCAGTTGCTTTCTTTCAGCTTTTAATGTTGTCTCATGAGGACCTTAATACACTCCCTTTTGTGGTTAGATCCTCATTCAGCTTTAGAATTTATGTACTCGAACATCCTATTAAAGGAACAATTAACGGGTGACATTACAAATAAGGTGGCAAAGATCACAAGATGTGGGCTTATTGCACCATGCATCGGTTTGGTTGTAATATCTCATCCAACATCCATGATGATTGTGAATTTTGAGTCTCTCATAATGAGCTACTACTAAATGGTTAGTTGTTCGAAGATTATTTGGTTGGTTGACACGTTGGTCAAAGTGTTAGTCTCTTGATGTGTAGCGAGACACATCCAATTTATCTAAGGATGATGTTGTTGAGGTTCTTTACTTAAATTTGTGACACCGTCTTGAAGCTTGAATGAGATCCCAAAAGCATCATTTCTGGAAAATACATCTGTCTAACACACTATACCTTGAGGGACCGTCACCTTGGTACCAAACTATATTTATAAATATGAATTAGGGGAAAGTAAAATTGCCACTTAGTAGAATGAGGAGAATGGAAAAAAGAGAGGGGCCATAAGATGCTTACAACTTGAATCTGTTAGCTACCAAAACCTCCTTTTGGTCTTCTTTTAATCAAATGTTGTAATCATATTTCTTCCCATGTTAGTTGACAAAACCACTGTTAGCCTTTTGAAATCAAGTCCTTTAACCATAAATAGAAAAGTAGTTGTTTCTTGGAAAACATTTACTTGACAAGCATAATACAGAAAAATGTGATCGTCACCATTGCAGTCTTCCTATGTAAACTTTGTCTATTTGAACTTTTGGCTCCTCATCTAGGTGGTTGGTTACACACTATGTACCAACTCACACGTTAGTCCTCTTCGTGTCAAGATTTATTAGGAGCAACTCCCAATAATCATCCTCAAATAAAATGAAAAATAGGACGATATGGGAATTATAATCCAACCAAATCACAAATTTGCAGTACAAAATCATGTTTACAGAGGGTGTCAAAGGATAAAATAGTAAAATCCAGGAGCCAGAATGCTCCACTTCTGTCTTTTGAACATTTGAGCCCTTGCTTTATTTTTTTTGACCTTTTAGCCTTGTTTTCAGTGTTAAGTATGTGTTCTGAAATAACATCAGAAACATTATTACTTCATATTTTATAATTGCAAAAGATATATAAAAATAAATGAGCATGGAAAATTGCATGACTCATTACCTTCCGGGGTTAAAAAATACGGTTGCACATAATCACCATCGACTCTGGCCTTTGTGCCTGTGTAATGAACCTTGATTTCTGGCATCTTTGGTACACTGGAATGAGTTTTATGGTTAAACTTCTGATAAGATGAGCTAGTGTTGGTGGTACAAAATCATTGGAAAATGATTCAGGTAAAGAACAATTAAAATCCTCTGGGAATTTTCTGCACATCACCAGGTCCCCTCACGTGTATTATCACATGTGATAAGTGATATATATACACACACACACACACACACACACTCCATCCCTTCTAAAGATTACTGTTTGAATCAAAGGTTGAAACCTTTGACAACCACATTCAAAGTTGACAATCACATGACAAAATTAACCCTATTTTTTCAACTTGTGGTCTTCACCATCGAATATTTTAGTTTTCATTATCATCCCGAAAACATAGAGATCTTTTGAATCTTGAGCTCACAAGTCAAATTCTAATGTTCTCTTGGAATTCAAATTGTGGGCCAAGGTAATGAGGATGAGAAATTGAGAATTCTTTTTGTTATTCTCGACATTTCCTTGTTACAGTTTCTCACAATCTTATTGGTTCGTGTTATGCCAGAGCATACGCACCATGATCAAGAAGGCAAAGAGCATGCCACAAGGACATCTTGATCCATGAAATTGCAGCAAGCCCGTAATTCTTCATCTACAAGGCTTGGTGAATTCAGCTAAGCCCCTGTAGATGATGAATAAATGGTCCTTATAGCTTGCTAATTGTATTGATCCTTGCCTTATTGATCTTTATCTTCACGGTGTTTAGGCTGTAGCACACATTTTTCTGTGGCACTGGGATGATATGCCCACATTATAATCCAAGTACCAAGAGTGCGTTTGGCACGCAGATGGGACTGGACGGGCGAGAGTGAGAGCAGGAGGGTGAAAGAAGCGTGCAAAGTGTTAGGTTTTTAATTTGTCATCGGTAATTTAGTAATTTACCAATCTTGTCCCATCTCCTTGAATTAGTGGGTAGACTAAAAAAAAATGCAGTTTCTTTTCCCACTCAATCCTGTCATGTCCCGGTCCAATGTCGCACCAAACGTGGGACAATTTTATTTTTGTTATATGTCATATTCAGTATACTTAATGCACCCCAAATGTACAAAAGTCCAATCCCCTCGAGCCATTTGTGCAGAAAGATAGTTATTAGGTTGGATATGAATATTATGTATGCATAAAATTCGAAGTGATTGATGGCAATTACTTTATGGCAGGTGTACAAGATCGCTGTCGTGCCCATTTTGCCGAGTGAGCCTAAAGAGAGTGGAGTCCAGCGAGCTGTGGGTGTACATTGACCATAATGAAGCAATAGACGTGGCCACTATAACAAGAGAAAATCTGAGAAGATTGTTCATGTACATAGACAAGTTGCCGCTTGTTGTTCCTGACTCAAATTTTGACACCTACGATTCACATTTGATGTAACCCCTGCTTTCGTACTAATTTCATATCTACCCCCAAGATTCGGTTTGTTTAGATGAACCCGGCCTGAGTTTGTTGTGGGCATGGCGTTGATAGTTTACTTGCAACATAAAAGGGTTGTTGTGGTAATTGTATGTAGTAAATATTTATGTATATGCTTGAATGGAGGTCGCGGATCTTTAATTCTGCTCGTTGTCGGTATATATTTGATGGTAAATGTATGTATAGATTTGGATAAAGCATTTAACAATCGTTTTCATCTTTACGTTACTGACCAAATTCAAACTGAGTTCAAGTTTGTGCCCATTTGACATTCCATAACATTGCTTTTTTCATTTGTTACAAATGTTTATCCTTGTAAAATTCTCATTGTAACAAAGTTGAAACCAAGGCTCAACATTTTGTTAAAAAGGCAAAAATTTCATTTTATTCTTCAACGTGTACTTCCTTTTTTTATTTATAAAGGGAGAAGTCCATAAAACTCGATTAACTCTTGTTCTTAAACTTTCTTGTTAATAAATAATCTATTGAATTTTTCCATTTTAAATGGTTAAGTTCTGTATATCTCTTTAATAAATAAACGATCGAACTTTAAGAAGTTAGTTAACTATATTATTCTAATTAGAAAGCTATCTGTAATCGACTAGAAAAGTTTTAAAGTAAAAGAAAACATAAATTAATTTTTGTGTTCCTAAGAGGTTGTTTGGTAGTTGTTGACTGATTTGATATAAAACAGTTAAGTGGTCAGAATGCTCAAGAGGCCACGTATCATATAGTATAGAATGAAATATGGTTGTTTGATAATTGTGGTTAAATGAAATATGGTTGTGTGGTAACCGTTCTGAATGGATAGTTTAAATGACAACAAATTACCATTTAATCTTATGTATAATTTAGTTCTAAGTGAAATATAGTTGTTTGGTAAAAATATCTGAATAAAACAGTTATGTAGCAAACATAACTACATACTCAATGTTACTAATTCAAAACAACTTTTGATATTAATCCAAAGACTCCTATTTCAAAACAACTATAAATAGGAGTCTTTTGTAATCATTTTGGATCATAATCCTTGAATTATAAACACTTTGTTTTTTAGTTTAACTCATTTGTGAGCTAAGCTTTCTTGCAAGAGCGGTCATCATTCAAGAACTTATCAAGATTGTGAGCACGATCTTGTGGCGTTCTAGATTCCTTTAGTTCTTAGTTTCCTAACTAATGGGTCAAGGATTGCTCTAGGTTAGTTGAAGAATCCTATACCTGAGATATTCGCTTCCTAATCTATCTCATACGAAGGTTTCAAATTAATTAACTTGTGTGAAAAGCACAAAATCATACAAATCTGAATTAGATCTTCAAGAATTAAGAACAAGATGAAGATTAGAGAGATATGATCACCAAATCTTTCTTTGTATTTCTTGAGAGAATTTGCAACACTAATCAGAATGATTATAGAATGTTAATGACAATTACAAGGCTAATGACTATTTATACTAAGGAAAGAATTAAACCTATCTATTACAAAGCATATTAAAAATGGAGAACTGGAATACAATCTTTAACGTACATACTTGAACCCAACATTCTCCCCCTTTGGATTCAAGTTCAAACTCTCGTAAATCTTGTCTTTCTGAGTCCGAGAATTTTCTCCAGCCTCCTTAGTGCATTTCGATATTGAATTTTCTCCTCAAGTAGATTCAGGGCATTGATCAACAAATATCTATCTTTTGAACTCATCCTCTCCGACTCCACAGCTTTATCATTGTTTACTCTCCTCGTGTCAAGTGCCCGTCTCACCAGTCTAATAGTACCATCAAAATATTTGTTTAGCTCGCTGAATCTCATAAACTTCTTTACTTGATACTCAGCATAGTATATCACTCCGAACTCTGGTTGTTCAAGAATCATGTAAACCGGATAGGCATCAATGTCCTCTAACTCTTGATCAAGTCTCTTCAAATTGATGATTCTCTGATTATCTTCAAGACCCATCTGAACATCAACGACCATAGCCACCTTAACGTGACTACGCATAAACCTTTTTAATTGCACTAAGAGCAACAAGAGCTCCATCTTTTCTGTTTGTCATGTTCCGGATTTCATGGTACATATACTCCAGGTCTTCTAAATATAAGTTTGAGAAGTCAGCTTCACTAAATCTCCAGACCTTACCATCTTGTCGTGTTACCATGAATACCGGATACCAGACTCTGAGAAGTCTTTGAGCATAAATCTGTTTAATTGACACAACTCGATGTTTGGTCCTTACTTCACTGATAGGGAGACGCTTGGCTTTAAGGAAGTGCTTGTACTCCAAGCGATATTCTTTGGTTTCCTTGTGGATACCAAGAATTTTATCACCACTTAGAGCTTTACGATGTCGGAGGAAGATGCCAAAGTAGATGTCTTCAAGATAAAGCTCTTGGATCCTAGCCCTGTCATATCCTGGAACATTAGCTCGAATAACAAATGGCACGTAATTCTTCGAAAAAATCTCAGTAGGATCAAAAGGCTCTCTAGGAGTAGGAGTATCAGATGCACCAGCTTCAGCTGCAGTAGAGGGTTCCGGCAATGTCTGACGATCACCCTGAAATGGGAATACTGGGTCTTCATCATTGATGTCAGCTTCAAAGTCAAAGTATAAACCATATGACTCGTCAATATTCTCAATATCTTATCCGAAATCTTGTTCTCCACCCAGTACAGTAGCAAAAATGTCATTAAATTCGACATTGGCCGACAAGTCCAGTAGCAACCTTGTTCCTACCGTGGAGTCCGCTGGCTTTCCAACCATTGGCTCGATCGCTGGACTTGTCTCCAACTCTTCATCATCCTCTACAACTATCGCCTCAATGATTCTTTCCCTTGTAGATTTCGGGGCAGAACCTTCAACATTAACATCTTGAGTAGCTGGCTCTCTTTCAACACTTAGAGCTTGAGCAGACGACTCAGCCACCCTTTGTCTTTTCCTCTCCCCCTCATGATGATCTGGATCTTCCAGGTCATCATGCCTTCTTTTGAGTGTGGTGGCCTGAGCTCTGCAAGTTTCTTCTAGAATAGATACCCATTCAGAAAGGGCATCTATTGAGCTTTTAAGAACTTGGGTGTTTGATGTGATTAACTTACTAACTTTGGTGAAGCTAGAAGCAACCACATCCTGAAAGGCCAAAAACTCTGAGGCTCGAACATGGGGGTTTTCATCAATTTGTTGTCGCAGGAGCCCAACCAAATCTACATCTTCTGCATCAGGATTTCGGGATGCCATCAATTTAGCATATAGTAGGGATTTGAGTTCGTCCACCGATTGCTCTTTTACCATCGGAGGCTCAGGTACAGGCGGTGGTGATAGCGCAGATGGTTGTTCTTCTTCTACTTGCTCCTTCCCCTTCAACAGTCTTTTTAAGCTTGCAGTTTGAGCATCCATATTGTCTTGAACAACCTTTAGGGTGCCGTCCAGATATTCCCTTGACACAAAGTCTGGTAAACTAATTCCTGGATCACTTAGATTACCAGTTGAGACAACAGTTGAGTAAACTGTTGTGCCTACGTTCAGTGTTGGCATAGTGATAGCACTGGTAGGACTTCCGACTGGTCCTTATGGAAGGTCAATTGACACCACTCTGGTCGTTCCGGCTAGTTCACTAAGAACTGTAATTGGAGCAACAGATGCTCGAGACTCTTGTGTACCTATGTGTATGGGCTCTAGACTCGAGGTGCACAGAATCAAAGTCGTAGGCTAGGGCAGCGGCCTACTAGTTTCAATATCCACATTCTCCAGATGAGAAGTAGATAGCAGATGTGCTAAGTCCCCGTGTTGAAATGAAACAGCTGGTTGTTGAGAACCAGTTGAGTGGTTAGGTTGGGTGTGCAAATGCATAACTGGGCTAGCTATGTCTTCTTCAATACCAACATTCAACGAATGAATGTCGATAGCAGATGTGGGTGCCCGACTATGTGTATCCGCTAGGAAAGAAGCTTGATCTTGATTTTGTGCTCTAACCACACACTCACCATATTCTTCTACTTTCTTTTCACTCAACCTCTCAGCATTTTCTACTTCATCTCCCTCGTCTCCTCCTTATACTGGAATATCGGACATGTCTTCCAGCATTCGATCATAATCATCAGGTCTGGCTCCAAAGTCATCAATATTAAATGATAGAGGATGCAGACTTGGACAAGTCTGTGGAGCGTTAAACTCTGGAAAGATCTCATCGATATTATCAACCACTGCTCCTATTTGAATATTCTGTGAAGGAATCGATTGAGCATGGTTGTCAGCATCATCATCATCATTGTCATTGTCATCATTGTCACCCAGAGTTGCCTGATTATCAGATACAATATCTTTCAAACTTGATGAAGTTGAGGAAGTACTATCAGATGAAGTTGAGGAAGTACTATCAGATGAAGTACTGTGCTGATCAGAGGCTCCCTGCTCCTGTTCACCCCTCTCAATTACATTTTTCCTCATCTCACTGCCCTGTTCAGGTAACCCGTGTTCCTGAACTCTCTCACCTACAGCTAAACCCTCTCTCTCAGCTGAGGCATGGGGTGATCCCAGGGTAAGTTCAACCGGTTCTGGCTGAACTATAGGATCTATAACTCTCCTATAATCTATAACACACTGAGCCCTCTGATCAGTGAATGCAGAAAGCTTGGGTGGTATCTCCATGATTGAATCCAAATCTTCAACCTCGGTATGTTGCCGAATTCTAGACATGACGAACGTCGGCCCCATTTCACTGTTAGCTCTGGCCGGGATATCTTCATTAGAGTTCATCATAGCCTTTATGAACAGTTGCAGAAATCTCTGAAAAGGCACAAACTTTCTAGCTTTGGATGGAAATCTTTTTGCATTAACGAGCTCAACCAATTCATTCCATATGACGAGGGCATAATCATAGTTGCGTGAATAGACTATCCCATGAAAGAACTTCAGGAATGAACTGTTGCGCATGTCGATTCCTGTAGTTTTGGAAGTCAAGCATCTATTCAGGATTAAAAAAGTAGATGCCAGATCGACGGTAGGAAACGTAAATTGAATTGAGACGGGTTATTCAACTCTAGCGAGTATCCTAACCGTTTGATGTCACGACAGAGTTGGTCATCTGTAACAAATGTCTCAAAACCCGTGGAGCCTGGTTCGGGAAGACGTAGAATTCTTCTCAATCTTTTTAATGTTA